CTAGACCCCTCAGAGGTCATCATTGATGAAGGTGATAGATGTGCTGCGCTTCTTCTTGTGACCTCGATCGTCGATCTTGCACAGCCGGGCATATCTCTTCCGACCCGAGCTGCTCTCCCCTCTTGCGGCAGTTCCTCATGATATGACATGGATAACGCCGACTAGGGGGCCTCGGGGTGGTAGTTGTCGATCTTCATCCGTTCTTCGCTCTTCTTGGGCTGGCTTCTCACTTCTGTTGATGAAACCGCTGAAGTAACCACACCAGATCAGATCTTCAATATGGTTGTGCAAGTTGAAGCAGTTCTCCGTGTTATGGTTGTGGTCCTTATGGAACTCATAGTATTTGTCTCGGTTCCTCTTGTTACTTTGCGTCTCCATCTTCTCGGGCCACTTGACATAATTGCGGTCACAGATTTGCATCAGAATTTCAGACCATAGAATATTTAGCGGCGTGAAATTCTGGTAGGTCGGTGGAGGGGTCCGAGGTCTATGGTCCGACCTCTCGGACTTCCGCTTGTCGGTGTTTCTCCTCTTCTTGTCGGGCTTCTCATTTTCGTATCTGAGCTGCGTCTGAGCCTCTTCAACATTGATATACTTATCATCTTCGTCTCCGTGCTGTATGGCCATAACTGCAACTGATTGGTTTAAGTCCCTGACCTGGCGTGCCTCCTTGTTGAACCTTGCCAGGTAATCTCTGAGGGTCTCCGCCTTCCTCTGTCGGATTTGCATGAGTCTGGCCGAAGTTTTCCAATGCTTCTAGCTAGTGGTGAACTACGCCAGAAACTGGGTCTCCAGCTGGTCCTATGACGTTATGGAGCGCGAAGGCAGAGAGGAGTACCACGCCAAAGCTGGACCTTGCAGGGTGGTTACAAGGGCTTTGCACATCAGTCTTTCCGATGCGCCATGCAGCATCATCTGAGCTTTGAGTGCTGCGATATGGTCGAAAGGGTCAGTGTTCCCGTTGTATTTGTTGAATTGGGGGTTTGCCATCCAGCAGGGGCATCTAGTCCATGATGTCCTAGATGAAGGACGGCTCCTTGACGGTATGTGCGACAGCCCGTGCTGGCTGGTCTATGGCAGGCGTCATGCTCTTATGGGTATGAGTGCGTTCCAGTTCTTCTAAATGTTGCCGAAGCTCTTTGATCTCGGCGCCTCTATCATTCGGGGCCGCCGTGTGGGTGGCCTTCCCCTTCTTGGGTCGCATAGGGTGGTCCTTCATCGAGCTTGACTCGGCAATGGAGACCACGAAGGGCGGCATCCTCTTGCCGAGTCTCTCTCTGTAGGGGATCCGAGCTGATTGGCATGTTTGGTTGTGGTGATCCTGCTCGCGGGAGCGGGCAGTAGAGGTGGGCCTTTAGGTCGTGTCCTGCCTCTCTCGCTCGGACCGCGCTCCCTTCACATCCGGCCGACATACTTTGGGGTCCTCGGTCCGAGGATAGTCCTTCGTGCACGTCGAGGCATGAGGGGGGACTGCCCGGTTGGGCGGAACGACAGCCCCCAGCGCCTGCATGAACTCGAGGATCTTGTCAACCTTCTCTTGCATACCTCGAAACTGCACTGGGTCCACTACGACCGAGGGTTGCGGGGCTTCTTGATGCGAGGAGCTGTGATGTCGGTTCTCTCGAGATGGGGAACGGCTTGCTGATCTTTCGGACTGGTTTTTAGGCATCTTGATCGGTTTTGAGGTTGCGCGGTGAAGGATTTTTTGGGATGGCTTTTTGTGCATTCCCACAGACAGCGCCAATATGATATTGCTCAATCCGAGGTAGTGCACGAACTGAGGAGAGCAACCAGATAATCCTTGCTGACTGGGTGGTGCCGAGCTTATAAGGACAGTGCCACGCTATGTAACTTGCGATCTAGAGAAGAAGTCAGAGGCCCGAGGAGTTGTTTCCGGGTAGACACTCTGACGCTCAAGTCACTGAAAGGGCGGTGAACGGTTGGGTCGAGCAATGAGGATGCTGGTCCGAGCAAAGTAATAGTATGGGTGTTAGAAGTTGGAATTGAATCCCCTACCTTTTTATAGTCGGGGGTCCGCCTCCTGGTCAGATTAGGGTTTCGGGATAATTGGGATAGAGCTCTCCACCGAAGTTACCAGGGTAGAGTCCTACTCCTCGGCGGAGTTGTCTTCCCACCCTTATCCGTAGTTGAGCTTATCCGCGTGGAGTGTAGCTGACGTGGCTGAAGGGATAAGGCGGGGGACCATGATAGTAACATAGCTCGGCCGGACTATGCCGACGTGGTCGAGCGATGACTCGGTGGCCACGTGTCTCTCTGGTCCAACTCAGCCATGATCCCAACAGATTCGTATAAATAAATATATTCTCATCTTGGCAAATCGGCAATTGAAGACACCATAATCAACCAATAAGTGAACTGCATGCATGCTAATTACATGCACGAGGAAGCATTTGCCTAGTGTGTTCTAATTTTCTCAAAAAAATGGTATATTATTGTTTTATTTATGAAGCAAAAAAAGGGGGTTAATTAATTTATTTTACAACTTTTAAACGTGTAGTTGTCAAAATAAAGTGGTTAATTTGCTTCTCTAAGTTTAAAAATGAATTCAATTAGAGCCCTTCAACACGCTTAGCTGAGCTGCTTTTTTCTAATATAGTTCAGCTTTCTCTATTATATACCTTTAATTGGTTTATGTAAAAAAATGTATAGTGTAATAAATTTAAAATAAAATAGTTAGAAATTAGTCGGGACCCATGAGATGTATTGGAAAATCCAATATTCAATTTGATGTTTAAATGAGCAAAAGGAAATATAAACTTCATATCATTTGCCTCCAAAAAAATATTAGAAATCATAAATTAGTGTAAGTGAACAATAATGTAACTCAAAATAAATGTTACTATTAGAAAAAAAAAGAAATTGAAAATCTCCTTATTAAAATGATATTGTTTATGATCAAAATAAATATCAAGCATTATTATGTAAAATTCAATACAAGAATCATTAATAGCATTGTTTATGATTATCGTTGTTCACTAATACCAATAAAAAAAGTTAATAGAGCTTCAAATATTAAAATGATGTTGAGCCATCATAGCAACTTCATCATTATTGTTGATTTTGCAGAAAAATTTTTGTATTCATCAATATAAATATATAATTTAATTAAATAAAATTGAAATTTATATGAATATAATCTTAAGGACAAATTCCTTAAATTACCCCTACTATTTAACTAATTAACAAATTATACCTTTACTGTTTAACAACTGTAATGGTCCAGATTTGGTTGAAAGATGTAATGGTCTCGCCTTTGTTTGAGAATGGTCGGGATTTGGTTGACAGATGTAATGGTCTCACCTTTGTTTGAGAACCAGATTTGGTTGACAGTGACTAAAGATGGAATTGTGCTGTATTTCACTAGTTTGCAGGGAATTTGAAGGACTATGTTGGGTTAAATAGTCCATTGAACCCTCAGAGCTGCGGAAGCATTTTCTACAAAATCAAATAACAACTTTGGCTTGTTTCATCATTTGAGTTCATAGCAGAAAAAAAATCAGTTTTCCTTATTTTCCGATGTTGTTCGAAATCGTTCACTCGAAGCCAAGGGATCCTGGTTTTGGTGTGTGTTGGAATCATCATAGCATGCTCAAAGGCTCTACAGTGAGATTATACACAAGGAATGCCTTACCTCTCTCTATCCAGTATCATCATACCTCCCTCACTTTCTCTCCCTGCAACTAGGAACGGAGACCTTGTAAAAAAAAAGAGGATAGAGTGTGTGACAGAGAGAGAGAGAGAGTGATTCGAGAGGAAGGGATAAGGGTAATATTGTGTTTTCAAAAAAATTAAACGTCATGTAATGTCAAATATGTATAAATTTTGATAGAATATTAATGGACACTAACAGAACTAATCAATTGTCAAAAACAATAAGAATAGTTTAAGGCAATAGTTAAACAATAAAGATACAATTTGTCATTTAACTAAATAGTAAGGATAGATTAAAAAATTTGCCATAATTTTAATTTACTTACCATGTTCAAATATCTTATTCTTCTACAATAAAATGATTGAAAAATAATAGTGTTATTCACAAAAGTAAAAATAAATTGCCCTATTGGCTACATGTTGCGTGACACGAGATTCTTAAATTACATGCATTCATCCAAATGTCGAAGATGTTATTTGTCGTTGTTGTAATAAGGAGAGAGAGAGAAAGAGCTAAGAGCTGTTTTTGAGAGAGTAAGATCACCTATGCTCCAACACCCTCCCAACAAGATCAGAGGAGGAGATAGACTTGATGTGGATGGGGAATGGAATCCCCACACTACCCTAACCTCAATTATATGTTTTTGAAACAAATTTTAATTAAAAGTATAGGGATTCAGGTCCCCGATGGTGAACTCGTCTCCATTAGGGATCAAACATGGGGATTATCCCCACCTTCTATTGCCATTCCTAACAAAGACCTAGAGCATACCCCTTGTTCCATGTGAGTGGCCTTGGAATTAGGGGGTGATCATTTTCAACCCGACCTACAATGCTCAGCCCAAAACATTCCAGGCTCGGGCCTGCATCTGGCCCACAAATTTTAGGGCCAGACTTGGGCCCAATACTTCAGGTCTGGCCCAACCAAGACATATTTATATTTATATTATTTATCCATATTTATGTGTTTTTTATGTCATATTTTAATTTTTATATAAATATCATACACTTATAAAGTTATAATGCATATTATATATGATATTTCATATCACAAAATGTATAAAATAATTTTTATACACATTATAATGACATATAATACAAAATAGGATATTTATTCAATATTTTATATATAAAATTCATAGGCCCAGAATGAGGCCTGGCCCAGGCTTATGTTTCAGGCCAACAACCCAGGCCAGGCCAGGGCTGTAGCCACTTGAATTCTCTCTACTGTGCAGGAGAGTGCTTATGACACAGAGCTGGTCAGATTTTATGGTGAAAATAGCCTTTTAGACTTGGAACAGATGCACCGACTTTAAACAGATAAAAAGTATCTCAAAACATAACTGAAATTTACTAGCATACTTCATTGTACAGTTTGATATAGGGAAAAATCGAGGTAATGAAGAGACAAGGAAAATTTACAGATGGCATGGCTAGCAAAGGCTCGGCTAGCAGTCTAGTGATTCATACCCAACGTTCTTATTATTACATTGCAGAAACAAATAAACAAAGCTTTGCAATTTTTACAGATAAAAATGCTGGATAAAAAGAAACCTACATTTGGCTGGTTGGGAAGAGATTTGTTGCCTAGTTGGTGTTCACTTGAGAAAGAACTTCCAAATCTCTCCGTCAGCCATCTCTGTCACTACATGAGCCCCAAAAATGCCTTCCTCATCTACCAAACCTCTAAGCTGGCGTGCTCCACCACTGGAACCAACATAATTCTTCTTTACAGCCAGATACATAACTCCATAGGGTGGTCGTAAGCACTGGTTATTACAAAGAAAAGAAAAGGGAGAATGAATTAGGAAATATTGAAATAGAATCAATAATAGCATATTACATGCACAAGAGATGATCATAACATTGGTCTATCAAGTTCTGGTTCCATATTTCTGATTGAAAGGAAACTGGCAGTGCTATGTAGGGGTGTCAATCCAATCCAGTCCAATTTGAGTCCATTACAGATGGACCAGGTCCAATCCAATCTAATGAATATTCTGGATCATTTTGGACCAGTTCATTTCAATGTCCGGAGTGTCCAATCTGTTCAAATTGGTTTTAATTTAAATAGGTTCCAACCCAAACCAGGTCCATAGACACCTGTATTCTTTATACTTTATCTTCTACCAATGGACTGGATATTGGTTCAATCCGACCCAATCCAATGTAAATCCATTACAGGTGGACCAGGTCCAATTCAATGTCTTATTGGTCCGTCCAACCTGTCCAAATTGATTTTGATTTGGATGGGATCCAACCCAAGACTGGTCCATTGACACCCCTAGTGCTAAATGTTAATTTACTATTCAAATCACTATTTTTGGGTAAACAATCTCTAAACTAGATGCTACTAACTCAACAATTAATACTAGATCTTAAGCTGGAAATCCCCAATGTTTCTGCATAAGAAGGAATGAATGTTGAAAAGTGTTGCCTAAACTCACAAATGCTCTGTGGAATAACAATGACTATCAGGCCTAACTTGTCATAAGGTATTATTACTTTTAAAAACAAGGGTAGCATCCAAAAAAATGCAATAGCAAGACCTTGAGTCATTGACAGCCAAGTTTAACCAATCGGGTTGATACATTTGCATGTGCATTGCATAAATGACAATGTTGGATCAAGAGACAGGCCAGATGTATGGGCATCCCAACATATAAGAATAACCATTCAGACCACAAATGAAGGGGCAACACCAATGGAGGTAACTAACCTTCTTAATGAGTGTGTATAGCTTCTTCAACGAAGCAATGGAGTAAGGTATCTCAGCCATCAAAATAACATCATACCCGCCTTCTCCTGAATCTGTCTCACTTGCCCTCTCCCAGGCCCGGCTTCCCGAAAGCTTCCTTGACCGTCTTGAGGATGATTCGTGCCCAATAATGCTACCATCCTGACTGCTGCAGCCATCCATGAAATCCTCTTCACTAAAGCTCAGGCTCATCCCAGCTGTCATCTCAAACCCTTCCTTCAGCACAACCGACAAGACTGTGTGGAGTTCTTCCCAGTCTCCGGCATAAAAGTGAACATCAGGGGCCATTGTATGCCTTGATGGTGTAAGAGGACTCTCTGGTTGTCGGCTATGCCTGTCTCGAGCCTGCTCCAGATTAGCAAGCACGTTTGGTATTGTTGTGCATCTTATAGTTTCTGCATTGAGATCCTGAAAATGCACTGTATATGCTCCCTGTAATTGGTTCAAAGATGAATTAGATAAAGGGGCAGGCAAGAAGTTTCTCTCAAAGGGGTATCCCTAGTTAATTCTTTCTTTGTTTCCGCCTTTTTAATTTTTAAGGTATTCCTTTTGGGAAATCAATTCAAAAGACAATATTTTTTGCAATACTCTTTCCTCCCTTTTGGATAGAAAAATTGGAATCTAAATACAATCTCAATGGAATGAAGTAAAGCAGTGCAAGTAGAACTACAATATTTTTGGTTTGACATGCGAATATGGACAAAATGAAGACAACATGATTATAAGATAAAATCATTTAACAGAATATACCTTTACACAAGCAAATATTCCTGGAAGTCCATAGCCACACCCGAGCTGCAACAATTATAAAAGTGGAATTAATCCTGATTATGGTAAAAAGGTATAGTAACAATAGCAGATGTAGTAGTTAAACTTTTATATCCAATAAAGTTTACAGTTAAAATCGTAATCTAATGGTAGTAATTTTGATGAGCAGAATACAAAGTTTTTTTTTTTAATATATATATAAACAAAAAGATAACAAAAGCTATATTGTAATCAAGTGTACTTAGTTAAGAGGGAAAATGAAAATCATAAAAGAAGTGCTTATGTCACTTTGGAAGATTAATTTTAAAATCTATGCATACAGATCTTCTATAATCTAGCTGAATACAGAGGCAGGTTATAGATTTGGAATCAGAAAGACAAAAGCCAACACAAAGAATGACAACAATTTTTCTTAAAAAGATTACCTCTAGAACTCGCTTTCCTCTAAAGCTCAGCCGTCCATCTCGAATTTCATTTTTAAGGATGTTAACCAGGTCGATAGAGCTCTCCCAGGATTTTAGAGACCCTGCAAAAGAGAACGAATTTCTATGGTTGAAACTCAAGGAAACAATTTGTTATTGTTCAATACTTAAGCTGAAAAGTACATTATTTCAATTGACATCAGAATTTTGATCCTTGATCAGTCATGATGATGCCAACTGAATTTAACAGCTATGTAATGGACTGAACTATGAGCAGCAATGCCATTACCTTCAGATTTTGAAGGTATCATATCTGAATTAGTAGTGAACCCAATGATATCAGACACACTAACTCTGCCCTGCAATGATAATAAAAGACAAATTAAATCAATTTTGAATCCCCAAAGCAGGAGAAAGCAGGTTTGGGTCTGAGAGTGACCACTTTATGCAAAAATAAAAAACTACGACCAACATTGGATAATGGTTTTTATACTGGATATGGCATTAACAGAACAGAATGGAAAAACAGGACTCATGTAGCCAACTCCATATAGTTGGGAAATGGCTTAGATGAAGGTGATGATGATGATCTCACTTTCCACAAAATACTATCTTGTTAACAAAAATGTTCAGAATGTAACTGACTAATAGCAAAATATAACACAGAAGCCAAAGTTATCAATTCTGACAGCAGATTTGATGAAACAGTTGTTTCAGAAATAAACATTCAAGTAGTCAACAAGTTGAAGCCAGAAAGAAAAATACCAATTCATGCGTTAGAACCACTGTTGTAAAAACAGAGACATGAAGTGGCACTAGGACCTTTAGATGCATGAACCATAAGCCTTGAGGTGTGAACATCGCTTACTATTTTTATTTAAGAAAAACACAAAACTAAAATGACAAAAATGTAGAAACATAGACAAGAGGAACATGGTTTTATATAGGAAGGCCACACAAATAAATAGTTGATCACATAAATAAGAGCTATAAGAGTATTAGGAGTTTTGGAGACGGTTATCTGATTCTTAAAGACCATTAACTACTGAAAGGTTTTAAACATAAATTCATACCTATTTAAATATGTTGACGCATAGATGGAAGCAGAAATATCACATGCATATATGAATAGATTTGTGCAAGGCATCTCAAGGTGTGATGACTGTGCCTTATATTTTCAGGCATGAACACCAAGGTTAATCCTTGAGGTGTTTTCCTTAAGCCTTGCCTCAAGGAAAGTTTCAAAGCATAAGCCTGTTACGCTTTTTGAAACACTGTTGGCATTTGAGCTTTAAAAAATCGGTTAACAAACCAACCCGTGAAGGCAAGTCAATTAAACCAAGTTTGGACCATTTTGGCAGCCACTTTTGACATTGTTCCATTTTCCAATAAGAGCATAATTTATTAATTGACATTGTTCCACATTGTTCCATTGTGGCCTTCATGAAAATGAGTACCCCTTTTGACTTTTGATATCAATAAATACCATTTTGTAACAGAGAAAAAAACAGTATTATCAAATGAAAAACTAAAATAGAGGTTTCATATACCTTGAAGATATTGAGCCCTTGCAAGTCCACATTCTCCCCAGCGTACTTGTATGGATGAGTTGTCTGTTTGAAACAAAAGGACGATTTTTTTATTAATTATAATGGAATCTCATGTTTCTAACTAATTTTGAGGGTCTATTCTTGACAAAACCGTAACAAATCAAAGCAGTGTGTATCAACTTAATTTGAAAAGGACACTGTGAATCAGGACATGGAAGTTGCCTTTGAAGGGAGAACTTCAACTGCTGGGGAAACAAGTTGCACATCTCTCTCTGGAATGGTGGAAATGGTATGACTGCTACGGTCATGGGGCAGCAAGCCAGGCAAGCACTGCGCAAGCAGTGAAGGAGCACGCATTGTAGCCTGATCTTTACAACCCTGAAGTTGTTGAAAAAGAACCTACCTACCAAGATCACCACTTTCAAGTTTTAGATCAAAAGAAAATCCAATTATCCTTCCAAATCCACAAATTCGATAACACCCTGAAAATAAATTAATAGTAATCAAAATGAAACATGCAGTCCCACTGAAATCACAAAATTGGGAAGTAGATCAAGAGAAAAAGGTTAAAAAGTAACATTAATTAGCAAGCAAATAAAAGAAATAAAGAAAAGGAACTAAAATAAATGCAGATTGCAAAGATCGGCAACAGCCTTCAAAAGCCAAAGGAAACAATATTAAGGAAAATCAAATACCATTCCTAAAAATAAATTCAGAATTTGCTCTCAAAACAAAGTCTGAACCTAACAATTCATAAAATTTGAATACCCTAAAGTAAGACTTATGAATTCATCACAGTTGAGGCAAGAGGGAACCTCTTAAATTAATGACTAATATGAAGATAAACGAATTGACTAAAGCATTAAAATTAAAACTAAGAACACAGAAATCATGCCAGCCCCGATTCCAATAAAACATCCTAAGCACAAATAGAAAAATATTAAATGAGAAAAAATTAATCAAAAATCGAATTAAAATTTTAAAACTGTAACTAGAATCAAATAACCCCTTCTCCAAAAAAAATCAAAGGAAAATGAAAGTAAAAGGAACCAACCCAAATCTTCAACAGAACCCCCAGATTACAATTCGTAAATAAAAGAAACGAGAACTACAAAAAAAAAAAAAAGAAGAAGAAGAAAAGCAACGAAGTTTGGCATCAGAGAGAACAAACCTTGCAGAATACAATCAAGGAAACAACAGAAATTTTGTCGATTTCAAGATAGCATCTCGCCCTACTCTTAACAAAGACCTTCCTAAATTCAACGCTTGCAATTTCACAGAAGAACCCTAAGGAGTCCGCTACGACCTTCCAGTCCCTTTTCAAGTCAAAAGAAACGCGAATAAAACAGACAACAGAGAAGAGAGGTGATCTTCCTCCCGCAACTACACTGCTTCCGGCCTCCAACTTTTTTAAAGATCAAAATTCCCATAATACCTTCTCTAACTGACAAACCCCCCTTCATTTTGTTTGCGCTTACGTTGTTGTTTTTGCAATTTTAGTAAAAGTAAAGGGCATTTTATTGATTTGCACAATTTACGTCAAAACTTAAATCAAAAAGCTAAAAAGAAAGAAAAAGGTACTCCAGGAAAACCGGCTCGTTGGTCGGCTCTCTCACACGATGAGGCTCTCCGCTCTCGTATCTCATATGGGAAGACAGTGGAATTCACATTGGCGCCACACAGAGCGCGCCGCGCCCCGCTTACACATCTCAGTGTGCACTGGGAATATCTCCTTCCCAATACACGGTTAAGATGTGCTGTAGGCGCTTGTGGGGGCGCATATGTGAATTCGACGAGATCGGATCTGCTCTTCACATAGGGCCCCTTACACGCACATCCTACCAAGTTATTATTCATGGAGATGTTTCCAATACACGGTGGATGTGCCTATGAGGCGCCCAAATGTAAAGAGCATATCCCGTTTTCGAATTGGACAGCATGTGAGATCTACGTGTGCCACGTCAGATACTTTTTTTGATAATACAATAAAATAAAATAAAAAGCTCCACGAGCGCCATTGATGATGATATAATCCAAGTTCCACGAGCAAGATGAATCAGCAATTATGGATTAGTGAAATCCTCAATCTGATGATTGATTCCATTATGCACGTGATGGTACATATAACACTGATGTTAGTGTCCTCTACGATCTTAAGCATTTCAATAGTTAATTTGGAATCCCAGGATAATCCTGAGTTCAAATCAGTCCCCACAAGACTGATCCCTACAACTTTCCACAGCACATCCCTGCCGTGTGTTGAAAATATCTCCTGCCTATGTTAAAAATATCTCTCGATGATAATATCCAAAATAATAATTCTAGAGATGTTATTAATACATAGCGGGATGTGCTGTGGGACATGATAGGAGGCTGATTCGATCTCGATAATCCTGTCTTTGGCAAGCTTGTAGGCTTCCAGGCTTGCTCTCATTTGAGCCACCATACTAAGAATTTAGTCACATATACAACTATGATTTTCATGATTTTTTCGTTATGATTTCTAGCTATGCAATCATATGCACAATCATCATTGTCTCTTCTAGAAGCGTTGAAATTAATTTTGATTAATGGGTTTAAGAAGAGTGTCCATCTAATCCAACTATGATTAACTTGCTTATTGTTAAATATTTTTTAATTCCTTTTTTTTTCAAAAATACCAAATAATAAAACTATTTTCACCAAGAGGTGATTCTAAAATTTTTCACATTTTGATTGGATAAATCTTTCCACCATTCCATAATTGATTGGTTTGGGTCCATTTTTTGTCCTCAGTTTTGGTCTTTAATGGGGTCACACCTGATTTGTCATTTGGCACAAAACAAACTGTGGTATATATCCTCCTTGAATCCATAAACTTGACATTCCGGGTAATAATTCAGGCCTCCTATTAAATTTTTTGTTGGGAGCTTGTTTGTTATTAGCAACCATGAGAATACTTTTAACTTTGGAGGTCAAGCTATTTTATTAACCTTTGTTACAGAGGCTCAGTTTGGAAGGAGTACAAATACAAATATGTATTGTACAAAATATTGTATTTTGTATGTATTTTACACAGTACATATTTGTATTTGTACTCCTTTCAAACTGAACCAAATAGTTTTTACATCCCCATTTGAATCTCTTGTAATTTAGGGTGTTGTAAGCCAATTTAGGCTTAGTTTGGAAGGAGTATATATAAGATTTTGCGTTCTACATATTTGTATTTGTACTTCTTCCAAATAGAGTCTTAATTGAAAAAGCACCCATCTGGGCAAACACCTTTTTTTTCTATGGATGGGAGAATAATAGTCAATATTTTTTGTTGTTTGATAAAAGAATGGGATATTTATTTTTGATAAATCCAATCTACTATTTGGTTGATCTCTTCTACTTTAGCAATTTGATTATATTGATTGTTGGCACTTGTTTCAACCTCTCTTAAGGGTTTGTTCATTGCCCAGTTGTCATCCCAAAGCTTACAAGATCTACCATTACCAATTTTCCTGGTAATAAATACACTTTCTTAAATTTTCTCGTTGGTTAAAACTTAAGGTTGTGTTTGGTTTGAAGGAAAAGGTAGGGAAAGGTAAGAAAACCTTTACAAATCTTGTATAGGCTCCCTTGCCTTTCCATTCCTTTCCCTACTTTTTTCCTTCAAACCAAACATAGCCTAAAAGTACCTTTCCAGGTCTAAGAGGCATTTTCTCTCTTCTTTATTTGGAAGAGGTCATTAAATATTTAGCTCTTATTATCTTTCCCATAGGTTATATTCTTCATTCAGCACTTTTCATCCTAATTTTAGACAACTAGTTTCATTAATAATGGCCATTTTTCTTATTCCCATGCCCTCATTGGCTTTATGAAAGTAAGCATTACTCCAGTTTTCAATGAAGGTCTCTTTTCTTATTTGTTTTCTTCCATAATAAATTCTTTTGAAGACTACCAATATCTTTTGTTGTACTATTCAGGAATTGGAACATACTCATCTAATATTGGACAGTTTTACTAGTCTAATCTTAGCATTGTGTCCCCCCCCCCCAAAAAAAAAAAACGGAGATACATTACTAGCCCTTTAGCCTTCCATTTTATTTTACTAGTAATAAAGCATGTGTATTGTATTCATGATTTTTTTTCATTAATTACTTGAATTTTAGATATATCATAGTTAAAATATAAATTAAAAATTAACAAAAGTAACAATACAACTAAAAATAAACTTAAATACTTGTACTAAATGTGTACGTGCAAAAATTTTAAATTACAATGATGATGATGACTACTACTACTACTACAAATTATTACTATAATAATTATTTTGTGTTCAATTCCTATCTTAAATAAAAACAATTTTATTTTAATACTTATTTTTATTTAACATGATGATTATATGACATTAGAAATGCTTCAAAATATGTCTTTGACAAAACTCTGTATTTTTTTTATTTTTTGTGTTTGATATTTTTTTAAATATTTATTATTCAATTATAACAACATGAATTTCTTTGAAAAGTTGGATCATTGACCCACCATTTAGATAATAAAATAGCTTTGCTTTCGGATCGGTTTAAATTATATATTTCATCTATATTATATAAATAACTTTTACTTATCACATTTAATTTTTGTTTGACATAGTTAATAAATAATTTTTATATATTCTTTTGATTACTTGTACTTTTTTATTACTTTTTAAATATTTATTATTTAATTACCATATCATCGATTAATCCAATTGACCTAAACCACTAACCCATGACCCAAAGAAAAATTCGATTTCTAAGTTGACATTAAATTATGTATTACATTTTCATTATTGATAAAATTGTATCTTATGTATATATTTATTTTTGTTCAATATAATGAATGTATAATATTATAGATGTATCAAATATTTTATTTTTAATAAATATATAATATTATATCTTATGTATAACATTTATTTTTGTGATTCTTTGTATTATATATTTTTAAAAATTTTATTATTTGACTATGACATCATCTCATTTCTAGGTTGATTTTAACTTTGGCATTCCATTTTCATCATTTATAAAAATATTTCTTATATTTCATACTTATTTTTTGTTCAGTATAATGAATATACAATATTAGTGATGTGCCCTTTTTTGTATTATATATTTTATTTTTATTGTTTAATTATGACATTATTTATTAACGTATTTGACCCCAAATTGTTGAACTGCTAACCCACCACCAAGATTTGAGAGGGAAGAAAATGGTTTTGTTTTCAAATTATTTTTTAAAATATTTATTTTTATATTATTAAAAATAATGTTGTGGATTTAATTAGTAGAGTTTAATAATGAGAAAAATATGTCATAAATATATGATTTAATAAGAGAATATACCTTAGAAATGAGGTTTAATGAGAGATAATAGGGCATTAGTTTTACTTTCAATTGGTTTTAAATTTTACATTCCATTTCCATCATTAATAAAAATTTTTCTTATTTATCATCAATGTTTTCAACTTATTGTTGACTTGGCCGATTGAACCGTTCAAACTGTCAATCGGCCTTGATCTTGGATTTGGTTCTATTGAAACTCCCCCTTTCAGTTAAAAACTGTCTTACTCGGGCAGTTCAAGTGTTCAACCATTGCCCCGTTCAACCCAGTAACCAGGTTGCATGTTGCACACTTAATTATGTGGAAACTTTTGAAAGCCATAACTTGACACTTCAATGTTTGATTGGGGTTATCCTATTTTTTTTTTTAGTAAATTTTCAAGATCTATACATCCCAAGGGCATTAGGCACTTTTCCTTTCTATTTTTGTAGAAAAAACCCCTTTTGGCCTCAGATTGCAATTTTTAATATTTTTATAAATAAAAAATTAAGATCTAAATTAAAAAACATAAATAAATGTAACATAATACATATATTATATGTAATATATGTAAAGCATGATTATACGATTTATTGATAAAATATGTATTATTACACACACATATATAGTGTTGATGTAGAGCGGTTTGACTTGTGACCCGAAGGCAAAGTGGGTTGGCCTTCGGGTTAGTTTTTAAAATATTGTTTATCATACTTATTATTGTTTAATATGTCAAATATATGATGTCAATATGGATTGGACCATTTGCCCATCTGACCCAAATGGTTTAATTTCTTATCACCACCTAGATGAAAACACTATTTTTTTTTTCAAGGAGATATTAAAAGTATAAGTTTTTATGTTATTGAAATTATTAATTTATTATGTATGGATTTAATTATAGATTTTAATAATGAGAAAAAAAACAAAAAATCCTTAAATATATTATCCAATGAAGGTGGATGCAAATTAATACCTTAAATGTTGGATTTAATGAGAAAGAATTGAATGCATTGAATATTTTAAAATTGCTTATTTTCAACTCATTTAATCTCAATAACCAACTGCCATATTTGCCCTCATTTTTTATCAATA